GCAAAAAAAAAGTCATACGTTATTTTCTTTTTTTACCCCATTGGCTCAAATCTTCTTCTGTATAGAACAGAAAGCTCCACAGTTGAAAATAAACCCTCTCAATTCTATTTTTGTGTTGGTGCCAGTTGGAGCATTTCTAACTGAGTCATTTGGAGTACATTTTGCTAACATAGCCAAAAAGTCCAGATGTTAAATTACAGCATTTAATGTAATTTTACTGAGCACCGTATATCTATGTGATATACCCATTAGAGCCTATGGCTAGACCAATGCTACCCTATCTTGCTAGTGGTTGCTTCTGACTTGACCTTCCCCCCCACCCCAATTTAAACATGCCTACTTCTAGTGCCAGCAACGCGAGATAGTTCAGCCTCAATGCTGACGAGTAAAAACGCAAAGAGTCTGCACCTCACATAAACATCTGGTACATTTTGCTTTCTCCATACCGAAGCAGGCAAGCTGCGACAAAACAAATATTCAGATTTTTACAAATGTCAAACTATTTTTGTCAGACTACTCATTGTTTTCCCTCACATTTGGTCCCCCCCCCCTCTGCTTACCTCCACTAAGCCCTGAAGGATGCGAACAAACATGACGCAGCCGTAGTGCGTTCTGGCTGCAGATGGGATGAACATATTGAGCAGTGATGTCAGGAAAATGGCAGCTCCGAACACCCTGCAGAAAAACTGGAATGTCATCATTTTGTACCATTGGTGAAAAGGAGTAAATCTGGATAAATTAATCTTCATAATAATCAAACACACTTTCCAGGAATTGTACTTTTTCGATACAACCAGCAAGGCTTTGGATAAGTTTAGAATAAAGATGTGAAGCAGAGAATGAGCCAGGTTGCTTGGAAAATCAGTTTAAAATGAGAAATACATTTCACAGACAAGTCTCCAAACTTTAACCCAGTATTTTCATACAGTCTGTTTTTGATATATATGAGAAAACCGTGGATCCAATTAAGGTCCACAAGGTCTGTGAAGCATAAAAACAAAACAAAGACTTGCAACCCAGTGTTTGCAAAGCTGCTGCAGATGCCTGATATTGGCAGGCAGTATGTCTCCACACTAACTGGCGGTCAAAGCATCTCAGTCGGCCTTATAATGAGACATATCTCGCACCTCTGTCTTTCACTGCCTCAGATAAAGACATCCCATTCAATCCACAAGTTTCTGCTTTATCGCCACAGTGCCGCTTATAGCTCCCCCTTTCTTTTCTCCTTCGCCCTCCCTTCTCTGTTTCCAAAACAGTGTGTAAGTGACACTTGTAATATTCCAGCGGCTGGTGTTTCAGAAAGAAATCAGAGGCAGGATCTTTCATTATTAACTCTGTCAGTGGCGTGTCCTCTTTTCCTGTGAAGCTTTTATTACAGGACTGCTATCTGCTCCATCAACACCGCTCACCACACCGTACAGCGTTAACCCTTTAACCACACGGACTGAGGAGGATCCTGAATAAAAATACCGGATTTTTGGGATTTTTTTCTTTGTGATCCTGTCTTAAAGGGGACCTGTTATGCTCACTTGGAATTCTATATTTGTATTCTTGGACTCTTCTAGCATAATTTTGTATGATTTGTGATTGTTTACAATAATACTTATTTACTTTATCGGCCTGGGGCAGTTCCTAAGTGCATCCAGTCTATTAAATAAGCTGTTTTATTTCGCTTACTCGTTACTTAAAGCCACATTTCTTCTGATTGGCTGTCCTTCATAAACAGCAGTGCACCTGAGAGGACTGTATTAGGCACATCCTCTGTCCCTGACATCACAGAGTGCCAAACAATAGAAAAAACAACCTGAAAAGGAGCATTTAGAGCAGTCTAAGTAGTTTTTCATTCAAAAGGATTTCTTCTATACACAATAAAGGTATAATAAATACCTTTAACATAAATAATTAGGGCTGCAGCAAGTTCATCTTCATTATAAACAGCATAGTTTTTCCCCATAAT